TTGGTGATGTGACTCTACGTAAGAAACTGTTGATCATCATGTTTGTGTACTATAACTTGGTGATGTGACACTGCATAAAAAAACTGTTAATCATTATGTTTGTCCACTGCAAATTTGACTTCCTACAAGAACTAGTAATGAGAGTTTTATAACAAAATCACTGTATGGTTGAATGATAACATGTAACTTAAATCTCATAAGCTAAGTATTGAACTAATAATTAAATCATCTACCAAACTAGGATTGTCTCTAATGATTCCATAATGCCTTTATAACAATTAACTTTATCACAAAATGAAGTTTATAATGCAACTAGTCAGCTTTGGATGTTTTACAGACTTAGAACTCGATGTGGAGAGGGATGCTCCAGTGGAGGCACTGCAGTCCAGGATGACGGTGGTTTCGAACGTTTCTCTGTGTTCTATGGTACCAATGTTGTGGAAAGTGCACCTCAAAGTAAGTAATAACAAGGTCAGTAATTGTAAGCTGCCCACTTAACCCTCAGTACACAATGGCAAAGGGATATCTGGTATTACAGGTACAGAAAAAGTGATTGCACTGAAAACAAGCCCTTGATATGGTAAGCTTGAAAAGTGATAGTTTTCCAGTTGGTCGCAAACTTCATTGCTATAAACAAATACAATTATTTTACACCTTGTAATATGATTGGTCCAGAAATAATTTCAACCTAAAGCATGATCCTGATTGGGTAATAATCAAAGGAAGATATTTAATTGAATTATTATATGAGTAGCATCTACTTTGTGGCATTTTAACTCTATCTAATAAATAAGGAGACAGGTGAAGAAGGAAAGCAAGGCATTACCGTACTCTGATATTACTATTTCTTGTCACGGTCTTTTTTAGCTCATGTCATTGTTGAGTCATTATGATGTCATTTTTTTGTGAGATGAGGTTTGAGATTTTTGCTTCGTATTTTCATGGTAACTCACAAAAGGCAGATGTAAGAATCGTGTAATTTATTCATTTATTAGCAACAGTTAGTTCTTCTTATACATTACATATTTTCTAAATTTATTCTCACTGTCTTTCACGAACTAAGAGCTCAAAATGTAACTCTCAAAGTCCTATTTTATATAACTGAAATAGGTTAAAAATTTTATTCAATTGCAATATAGGTTTGAGAATTTAGATTTACCTTTAATACAGGCTTAAAATGTTGTAACATTAATAACAGAAGAACATGAGGAGCAGTTTTGTACTATTTTCCACAATATAAAGATTACCTTACACCATATAATAACATTTGTTAAAAGGTTTCATAATTCAAGTTGTTTTTGCAAGTAACTAGTTATTGAATTTCTTCATAGCACAGTTCAGCCACTCCAGTGTGCAGAGTGGATCTCATTCTGGAGATGCTGCAAGCGAACTCGGTGGGCAAAGCACGGGGAGAGGTAGTGCAGCTAGCAGTATCGGTCGTTGCAGCACCTTCAGCAGTCTTGGCCAGAACAGTGCCAGTCTTACACGCACCAGTCTCAGCAATGTTGCAGTTTTTTCCGCACCTCTTGGCAAGACTGGAAATCCTAATCTAGTCACACACTCTTCTTTTCGAGCATTCCCTACAGAACTGGCCAAATTGGCAAGAACTTATGAACAGCATTCTAGTGACCTTCCTAGTCAGTCTGGTTATGTTACAGGTATTGGAATAGATGGCCAAAGCCAACAGCTTAACGACAGTCTTGGACAAGATAGTATCGTATAGTGACTTTAAAAAACTAGTACTATGGTACAGGAATTAATAGGATGATGATTTCCAGCAGTAGTGTACAGGTTTTTAAGAACACTACAATTGAAAGGCAATATTAGGGTCGCTATGATTAAGTTATTCAGTAAAGATAACCAAAGAGAAATATCAATGATGCTATACAAGTTATATTAAGCTGAAGATGTTACTGTCAAATTACATAGCATCATTTGAGGAGAGAAAAAAAAATTGTGAGTTATATTTGGGTTAACAGGTATTGTTTTATGAAATAAAACTATCTATAGTCCATTACATAGTGAGAGTGTAGCATAATGTGCAAGACAGAAGAGTACTTCTATTAGTACTTGACTTATAATACATCAGGTTATGAGAGAACATTGTTGGTTGGAAGAGAGTTATTATGTATTAGTGTATGAGTAATTACACTTCTGATTGTGAGAGGGGAACATTGTTAGTTAGAAGAGAGTTACTTGGTATTAGTGTGTGAGTAATGACACTTCAGATTGTGAGAGAGGAACATTGTTAGTTAGAAGAGAGTTACTTGGTATTAGTGTGTGAGTAATGACACTTCAGATTGTGAGAGAGGAACATTGTTAGTTAGAAGAGAGTTACTTGGTATTAGTAATTATACTTCAGGTTGTGAGAGAGAAACATTGTTGGTTGGAAGATAGTTATTATGTATTAGTATTAAGTAATGACACTTCAGGTTGTGAGAGAGGAACATTGTTGGTTAGAAGAGAGATATTATGTATTAGTATTAAGTAATGACACTTCAGGTTGTGAGAGAGGAACATTGTTGGTTAGAAGAGAGATATTATGTATTAGTATTAAGTAATGACACTTCAGGTTGTGAGAGAGTGACATCATTGGTTAGAAGAGAGATATCATGCATTAATATTAAGTAATGACACTTCAGGTTGTGAGAGAGAAACATTGTTGGTAAGAAGAGAGATATTATGCATTAGTATTAAGTAATGACACTTCAGGTTGTGAGAGAGGAACGTCGTTGGTTAGAAGAGTTACTTGGTATTAGTGTGTGAGTAGTGACACTTCAGATTGTGAGAAAGGAATGTCGTTGGTTAGAAGAGTGACTTGGTATTAGTGTGTTTGTGTGTGTGTGTGTGTGTAATGATGCTTCACGTTGTAATAGAGGAACATTGTTGATTGGAAGAGAGTTATTAAGTATTAGTGTGTGACTGATAGTATATCATTCTGTGAGAGAGAGAGAGAAATTTTATTATCTAAAGTAATTACTTGGCATAAATGTGTTAGTGATTGAAAGTAAATCAATCTCCATATCTCACTGTTCAAATTGTCAATTCTATTGCTCTGTGAATTACAATGTATAAAATTACATCAGTGGTAAAAAATTTTAGAATGTTGAAGGATATGTATATATACATATAGTAGAGATGGCTGCTATCCATACCAAAAAAATTTCTTAAAATGCAAAACAAGTATCACTGTTTCAGTGTTTCAAATAAAAGTTTTTAATATCCATTTCGGCCATCTCTACCATGTATGTACTCCAAGTGAAGGACATGTGTTATATTTATTAGAGGACTTCACTAAATATTCTGGTCTACAGATCTAGTGAAATGTAATGTTCTGCAGTTTAAGAGAATCTTCAGAATAACTTTTTAGAACAGAGCATAATATTATATGGCTACCTTTTCAGTGGTACTGTAGTATTGTATGATTATCTACATTGACGAGGCAAAACAAGAACATATAACATAACTGCAGTCTTTTTATGTGGCATGACAAGTGTGCTTACAGTACGTTAATATACTCAGTTATTTGAGTCATCATGGAGAACCATTAAGCTGGCTGTCCTCATTAAGTTTTTTTTTCTTAATTTTGTTGTTCTTTGATGAACAGTGAAAGTCTTGTAAGGTATTTGGGTGGAGTGATCTTCATTATTCCCAAAGTAAAAAAAAATAATTTGTTAATTTTAACAGAGTGTGTTCACTATTGGTAAAGACAAATAAGAAAACATCAGTTTTTGTGTCTTAGAAATTAAAAATCAGTTGTAAAAAATGTTTAGTTAAATGGTGTTATTAGAAATTGTAAAATAAATGTGTAACCAATTGTTACACGATTTTTTTTTTCTCTGTAAAGACTGTGTTAGTTTAAACAAACGTTTGGCATTTCATAAGTTGTTGATCTGAAGACTTAACTATAGCCAGTACGCTGTGAAGAGAAAGAAAAAATATTTTAATACTGTTGTGTATAGTTTATGATCATAGTAGAACATGGAAGTCATTACAGTAGCCAAAAATTGTCTCAAAATACATAGAGTAGATAAAAGACTGACTTTAAATTAAGACTGATTTGTTTACAATGAAATGAAACTTCATGTAACAGGGACCTTTTAGTCATAAATGAGAAAATATTTAAAGTGGCCTTATTTTGGCAGCCTCCATCCCATAGGTAGACTCGTGGTCCTAATTGTTAAATGTTTTCTGCTGGTAAACATAAAATAAGATTAAATTGTCCATTTTAAATCACAACAACTGGAAAACTATTATATGTTGATTCTCTGTAATGACTTCATTTTTAAAGTATGTGTCATAGACTTTATCATTCTTGTCATAATTCTAACAAAATGTGGACCGTGAGCAGTCCTTATGATGTTCTCCAGATGTGCATTTTGAAATAAAGCATTTGACTGAAATGGTTTTTAATTTTAGAAAAAAAAAATATATAAACAATTTTGTCAGGGATAACGGTACTTAAAAATTGTTGGCAAAAGGGGGTGTGTGTTTTGCATCATTCAAGCATGTTGATGTTAATATATAAACTTAGTTATATTGTGTGACACTTCCCAATTTCAGGTGAATTGCTGTAATATTGCCAACTCTATAAGGTGCATGAATTTAGGTGAAATATGTGTAGGCATCATGAACAATGATAAAGTTTATTGGAAGTTACTTAAGATACATATAAAAATATCTTTTAGTAAGCTATTTATTTCATGTATATATATGTGCATGTGATGAGTTGTCAAAGTAACTGGGTTCATTTCTTTTTTTATGAGGTGAATAGGTTTGTATTGTTTACTTACTTGAATGCTGCAAATTTCTAAGTAATTTTTTTTTTACTTTCATAGATTGTTTAACAATTCATTAGCACTAAAATATTGAAGAAAAAATTTGAATGTGACTTAAGTTTGATTATAGGTTTATGTAGAAGTGTTGTTATGTGACTTAAGTTTGATTATAGGTTTATGTAGAAGTGTTGTTATGTGACTTAAGTTCATTATAGGTTTATGTAGAAGTGTTGTTATGTGACTTAAGTTTGTTATAGGTTTATGTAGAAGTGTTGTTATGTGACTTAAGTTTGATTATAGGTTTATGTAGAAGTGTTGTTATGCGACTTAAGTTTGATTATAGGTTTATGTAGAAGTGTTGTTATGCGACTTAAGTTTGGTTATAGGTTTATGTAGAAGTGTTGTTATGTGACTTAAGTTGGTTATAGGTTTATGTAGAAGTGTTGTTATTGATGGGGCCAAACAGTTTTACCTCTAAAGTACAACTAAAATTTGTAGTTGAACTAGATCACAAGTTGTAAGTAAAATAATGTATTTTGATGTTTTTTAGTGTACTAGAGTCTGATTAAAAACTATTAAAATTGATGTATGTAAAATTTGTTGCATGTATAGCATATGTAATGTATCTTTTTTTTTTAATGTAAATTTTGCCTAATGGAAGCTAATTAATTTTCCTTTACAAATTATTAATATCATCCTGTACTCGGACTAAAACCTTATAGAATTAGTAATACGGATTAAATTTTATCTTGATACAGAACAATTCAGTAATTTGTTCCTACTAATGAAAGGTGTGGTTATTTAGTGTGCTATCCTTATCAGTTTTATTGATTATTTTGGTTGCTGTTATTGCTTAATCTTGTTTTTATGTTATAATTAACATTTGGCAACAATTTATTAACTACCCTCTATGTCCCTCTCTCTCTTTTTTTTTTCAGAACAGTACGTTGGAAACCGGTCTTTTTAAAAAATTTAGCGTTAAAAATTGTACCAGCACAATTAATACAATAAATAAAAAACTAGGCATAAACTCCCCCCCCCCCTGGAAAATGAGAAAAATAATTCCTTATTTATTTATTCAGCTTATGTATATGATTTTTTTATTCAGTTCACAGTTTCACATTACTTTACCCCCACTTTATAAAAATTTCTACAGCCTCCCATGTTTATAGAAGCTCTTGATAAAACGACTTCTCAGTTTCTGATGTTATATGTGTTTATTCCGGCCTGCCTTTGTCTTGTGTTTTCGATAACACTTCATTAATTTATTCGCGAGGGGAAAACTTTATCGTTCTTACTCCATGTGCTAATTAAATAAGATAATGAGGGGGGATGGGGAAACGTACTTGTGTAATATATCTTTTTTTTTTTTTTATAGGCTTAATACCACAGGTGAACTAAATGGGGTGAATTTTTTAAAATAAAGTATAGTAAAATATAAATAATTTTCTTTATTAAAGCAGAACAGATTGTATACATTTTTAACTGTTAAAATACAAGCACGTTCTTCCATTTTAATAAAAATTAAAACACGGATTGTACTTAACCGTTATGGTAAATTTAGTTCTTCCGAATTATGTTTTCAAAAGTTATGTTACGTCATCCTTAAGATTTTATTATTCAATTTTAATAGGAAATAAACGCAAAAGGCCATTGTTTGTATTCGTTTAGTTATAAAAAAAATATGTCAAAATACAGAACTTAAGCCCAATTAATAATATTTCTATTACCATTCTCATCTAAACCGACGCAAGTAGAACAAAAGAGGCATTGTAATAATAGTTTTTGTATACATCTTTACAATGAGGCCTAACATTACATTCAAGATTCTGGATTAAAGACTTTTCAACGAGAACGCGTGGGTTTTGTTTTGTTTTTTCATTCTTTATACACGACTAGTATTGTTCTTTCGATCTGACAAGGTTTTCATAGCTATTGATTATTTTACAATGCCTTAATCTTCCAAATAACGTTCTTCATCCTTCTGATGTTGTTAGCTAATTTCTAAGTAGAGTATGATGTGTAGGCTGACATCTATCGTCAAATAAACGAGTCGAAGGCACATATTTTAGTGTAAAAGGCATAATTAGTATGTTTTGTAAATATATTGAATTGGACATAATCTAAGCTCAGTATAGAAAGGAAAGCCCAATATTCTATGTTTTGGGTTTATAAAAGTATAATTTAATTTGTATTGTATTCAGTTTTGTTATATATTTTCTTGAAGTTTCAGGACAACGTAAGTTTTTCATTATGTGTATTACGTTTTTATAATTTATTCAAGTAAAACATGTTTAATAAAATATGTGAAAAATTATCTTCAAAAACATGTAACGAGCACTCATAGTTGGTATCTGTGTACAAGAGTTTCGACATCCTGTGAAAAAAACGAGTGATTTTTGCATTAGTATGGGTTAAAAGGGTATTATTAGTCTTCAATGATAAATTACAAGTTTAAAGTTGACAGGACTTCAACAGTTTTAATATTAACGACAAGGCAGTGGTTTTCAACATTATTGAATGAAAATATAAGGTGTATAGTAATAAAGATCGTCTAATTGCATTCATAGAAAAACAAATATAGTTAAAACATCATAGGCTACGAAAATATAATTAAATAATAGGTTGAACAATGGCCAAGTTTTTTTTTAAAAAAAACTATTGAAAGAAGGATAACGTTTCGAGCTAGCGCTATCTCTAAACGTCGTTCTTCTTTTAATAAAAAATATATAAAAAACTTGACGATTCTTCAACCTGTTATTTAATTTCGTCAAATTGCATTTCACAACCGAGAAAAAAAGTTCTATGAGAGACGTGTAAGTATTGTGCAAAGTTTAATGATAATAAAGTTAGACGTTCTGCGAGTGAGTGTACTACAATATAAATTGAATGTGAATGGATGTACATTAAAATTTTTTATTAAAATAAAAATGTAAGAAACGTCATGGGCCTTGGATTTAACTATTTATCTAATTATACATACCGGTATAATCAAGCAAAGTGATTGCCGTGTAGTATACAACTACTGATACTTTTAAAAGGGTTTATATAAGAATACCAGACGATGGTAATGCTAAGAAAGTGACTGCTTATAACGCTACAAAACTGGTTGTTATATTCGCGGTGGACACAACGCAAATGGCTTATTATGTGGCTTTGTGGTTAACTACAAATGGATGATTAGAACAGATAAAAAAATAGATGTGTTAATCATGTTATTGGAACGTGTAGTTTTGTGAACTTCTGTGTCATCCAGTTGGACAGAAGTTGCAAGAAACATTGCCCAATCTGTGAAATTATATAGACAAAAGTATGTTAGGTAAATCTACGATCTACAGTTTTGTTATTAAAAAAAAAGTTTGTGACAGTCTTTGTTAGGTGCGTTGGTCTACATTGCTTTGTCAGCTTTAGATGTTCAAAACTGTAATATTTCCTTTTGATTGCTGGTTTTGTGAGCACAACGAGACTGGTAGTTGGTTCTACCAAATGTTTCTTCATTAGCCTTTAACGTGTTCAAGAACATAGCATCTCAATTGCACGCACTTTGTTGCCGATGGGAGCTTTCGCCTAATACCAACTGTCATCAGGCCAGCTTGGCACGCTACACACAAAGTTTCGGACGGAAAGCTATCTAATGTCAGTAATTTATAATAGTTATTGTGAAATACAATGCCTTGTGTTGACGATGGCTAGAGATCAATAGTTTGTGTGATATTACATTATTATAAGACTAATGTTCAGTTGGTGGCAAGATCTACTGAACTGCGTGTCTGGTGTTTTCTGGAGTCCTGTCAGCAGTTTCAGCCAGTAGGCGCCCCTGGCTTACTCGGGATACACTAGAAGATTTGTAAAATAGCCGAAAAGAAAATTCACATCATAGGCTCCTTCCATTTTCTTGTAATGAATCATCAAAAGTACTGTAAACAATTGGATAATTTAAAACAAAGAATTGAGAAAAAACTAAACGTGGCAGAATTTTAGTTTGAAAGGAACATGATAGTTGCCTGCTCTTCCTACCAGGGGAAGGTGCGTGACAATAGTTTTCTACAGCGGCTGTAATTGCGATTAAAAACATTGGCGGGGAGTTTGAGAGAAAAAGCTGTGTAGAAGATCGGCGGAGGGAAGATGAAGTTCTTTTCCAGTGGTGATGATGTAGACGAGACAGAGATCCAGACATGCATTCGACGTATTAAGTTTACATCATACGAATTTAGGAATGCATTTAATTTTAGGTAGACTTATTGAAACGTAATTTATAGACCTTTTCAGGGGTGGAGGGCAGGGACCATACAGTCCAAAAGTCCAGTCCGGGTATTTTTTGGGGGAGAAATAAGATTGCCCAGAAGAAGAAAAAAACTTTCACAGTACAGACGCCGAATAATCTGTCCTCTGCCCTGGCTGTAAAATAGAACAGGATGGTTAGTAAGGAGAACGTGACAGTGTTAAACCTTTTGTATGCGTGTTATTTATTTTTGTTTTCATGTTAGCAGAACAAACTGTCTGGCGAAGTGTGTTTGGTGGGAGCTCTTGAAATTTTGTTAAGTACAGCTATCAATAATTTCTTTCTTTTTTTTTTTTTTTTTATATATTTGAAAGCAAGTTCAGTTATTCTATTTTAGAAACTGGGTAGATTTATTTATTTTTGTTTTCATGTTAGCAGAACAAACTGTCTGGCGAAGTGTGTTTGGTGGGAGCTCTTGAAATTTTGTTAAGTACAGCTATCAATAATTTCTTTTTTTTTTTTATAATATTTGAAAGCACGTTCAGTTAGTCTATTTTAGAAACTGGGCAGATTGCTGATTTTATGTATAGAGTATTCTGGAAGGTCTAATCTTGATGCTCTAGTTTGTTGAATTTGTAGTTAAAAATTGTTATCCGACGGCCATCTTTTTTAAGTGAGGGAACAAATGTTTTGTATATTTTTAGGGATGTCGTGGGTGTGTAGTTTGTTTGTTTACCTGCAATGAGCCTCCCGTAGTTGACGAGTTTGCTAATCGAGGCGTGTATGTTCCGAATGTATTTGTTCCATGTTAGACGAGTGTCAAAGATAATGACGAGGAATTTAATGGTGTTTCTCATTTGAATTTGTCTAATTTAAGTATGATTTTCATGATACTTTTCATATGTTTAAGTAGTTTTTGGAAAAGGCTATTGCTTGCGTTTTTGTTGGATTTAGTATCACCCGCCATTTGTTACACCATTTAAGAATTAAATTCACCGATTTTTGGACACGGGTCATTGCTATGTGTGAGTTTCTAGATATGCTCAAGACTGTTATGTCATCTGCATACTGAGAGTGATATGTATAGAATAAGTTTGGAAATGGGATGTCATGATGTATAGGAGTGGCGAAAATACGGATCCTTTCGGCAACTCCTGCAGTAATATTAGATGTTTTTGATAATGTATATTTAACTAACACTCGGCTAGAAAGTTCGATATCCATCTGATTACAGTTGCATTAATATTTAGCTTTTGTAATTTATATATATATATATTTTTTTTTTATGGCATTGTGTCAAACATTATCAAACATTTTTTTTAACATCTAAAGATACACCTATTGTAGGTTGGTTGTTATCCAATGATTTGTAGATTGATTCAGTTAATCGTGGGAGGTGGTTGTCTTTTTTTCTTGGTGTCCGATAATAAATTGTTTGTTTAAGTATAGAATTCTATGCGATGTTATTTTCTTATTTAGCTAATTGAGAACTTCATCCTAAATAGTAAAAACAGGGTGGAAAATACAGAGTCAGAGAAATTCCAATTAGTAAGAAAAATACGGCCAAGATGTGGGTTAAAGCTGAAATGGCTCAGTTACATAGCCCTAAAATTTATGTTAGGAGCAGAATATTAAACTCATGATAGCTACTCATATGTCATGTCTATGTGCATTCGAGAGTATCTTATCTGTAACACACGATCCTCAATGAGTGTCCTTACCATATCTATCCTGGAACACTACCATTTCTTCCACTGCCACCTGCTGGTTGTTATACAAAACAGACTAGGAAAGAGACTGCAAGGTTAGGTACCCACATTATTGAAGGCTGCATGGACATTTAATTCTTCTGACCGTGGAAATTCTCCAGTCTCTTTCTCCAGATTCCTTTCAGATACAAGTTCATCACAGAGGAGAGAAACTACACGTAGAAGGAAGGTTTTACTCCAGGACAATTGGCACAGTCTATCTTTTCATACATACTAACTGTGTATTGAAATATTCAGAAAACTGTACAACATGAAATATATCACTGTGCGTGACTGAATATACTCAAACACAACTAAATAAAGTGTGTTTTATGTTACTGTTTATTAATTTTACTTCCTACAGATGAATTCACCTAGCTACTAACATTTTAAACTGAAATGTGCCGGGTTACAACTTACGAAACGACAGACCAGACTGTCTTCCAGATTTAGATGTCAAATCCGAAACTTTCTCGCACCAGCATTAACGAAAACGGTCGTGTTGTATCACAACGTTTGGCAGGCCAGTAACCATGGTGAACTGTAGATCTTAATATTCAGATTAAAAAAAAATTTCATTGAAGTGTCACACACTAGTGCTCTTAGTAAACGATTCACATGTCATAACCACATTTTGTTTAAATCTTAATACACAAGTGCAACAACTCACACATCCATATTTATCTATACTTTTACACATCATGATACACACTAGTAGCCAAGACTTGTGTGTGGTTAACAGAGTAACAAACTCTGGTGAAATCTTGGATAATCACAGTCCAGTAATGTTCTGCCATCTGTGAACAGTGAAAGTCAATATTCTTTTGTAGGCATCACGAAATAATTACTGGCAGATTTTAGCTGAACTTGCCTTTCAGCAAAGATTCTCGACTTCAGAATTAATATTCATCTTCTCACTACCTTGTATATCGATCAACACTCAAAACAATCTCAGCTAACTGGATGATCGCAGTTAGTGTTCAAAACTTACCAATAGTAGACCACTGGGAAACTTTTCTATAAACGAGTTGATCCATTTGCTTCTATTGGTATCACAGAAATGTAAGTGTAGACAAATTCAATGAAATAAGATATATTGAGAGTCAGACGTCCAGTCTATTTCCTGGACTGATAAAGAACATAACCCCTCACTGCACGTGGTAGAGTTGTACACGTTTAAATGTACTGACGAGTTTCTCCACCACACCTTGACCTGTTACAAGAACTGGCATTACTCAACTAAGGTCGCGTGGTTCTCTCAAGATGTCAGACTATTGTTTTATTGTAGAAAATCACTTAATAGTTTAGAAAAATGGGTTTCATAATTCTGTCAGTCTTTAGTTCTTTGACTAACTGACTGCCCTAGGCTGTGACAACCAAGTTGCAGTCACATAATGCAATACATGAATTTTATGGGAC